ATCTATACTTTTTGAGTTATTCTAGGTATTTCGCGTTATTATATGTTTCAAAATTAATTTCGAAAGGTTTGGTACACGTTGGTGTGGAAGTTACTTAATTTTGTTATAATTTCACGTTGCGTCAAGTAAATTTTGTCGGTTTCTTCGTCTATTAGTTAAGCATTCAAGCGAAACTATTCGTTTCTATAATTATTTTAGATACTCAACACTTTTAAGATATCAATGACGGCGAAATGAGAAAACTGCGACCCGTCGTTTTGACGGCTGCGTAGTTCTAGCGTCGAAATACGATTGAACCTATGAGCTCCAAAATAGCATAAGTTCGCTTTTTAACATTATCTATATACATAATGAATGAATGAACGAAGACGAAAAGGAAGATTGCTTTTCTCGAAATGTCGATTGGTTAACTTGCGCTGTTTTAGAATTCATGGCGTCAATTACTGCGATTGACTGGTTGAGAGGAGCTGATTTTCTGTGGGATCGAGGAACTATTCAACTAATTTTCGATACGTTATAATCGTTTCGACGTGGCTCAGAAATAATATTAACATTAGAACTACCGAGCAGTAAAATTGACTTTTTCAAGTTTTTCTACGGAAACTTCAAGAGTGCATCTATTGAGACTCTAATTGATCCATTCAATTTTGCTAAATCAATTTCTATAACAATTTCTCAGAGAAACATCTGTTATCTTTTTAATCATTGTAGAACGAAGAAACCAGGAACAGGACAGTGTTCAGCGTTAATAGGTTTTAGTGTTAGCAGCACCTTTCTCACAAAAACTCAATCAACCCCTTACTTAACGCTAGATGTACGAACGTTCAACCTACACTTTATTCTATTGATTCTACAAAACTGCGCGTTCGTTTATATAGATCGCGAAAATCGTAGCTTCAAAGCTGTATCACAATGTGTATTCGCATAATTGTACGAATCAAAGTCGACTTAAACTGTTACCAAATGATCTTTAACAAATTCAGTGTCCGTCAAATTGACGAATTCCGTGAATCTAGCTTATAAAGTAGATCTTTCCAAACATCAGGTCATATATTCCTATTCGATTTTCTGCGGGATCGAGAAACCATTCGAGTCGTTCACCGGAGAAACCGAGGAATCAAAAGTGATTCCTATCGTTTTTTTCTTAATTGCACGGCCGGTCTCTGATTACCGGCCACACAGCTCGCGGCCGCTAATTGTTTATACTCGAATGGTCTGTCCGATATAGCTGCATCGCGACGAGACGTATTTTTAATGGTCCGTGGGCGTGCTTTATAAATAGTACGCCGTGCCGATAACCCGTCCTCTCTTTCTCTTTTCTCGGTCTGGTCGTGTTGTCCGCGTTCTGGTCGCACTCCCGTGACCCTAAATACACTACTCCGTATCGGTATTATTACTACCGCCACTCACTACCGATCTTGTTGCTATTACTGGGGTTGCTTATTACCGTCACGTCCCGGTTCTACGCCCACTACCGTCTACGTCGAGCTTCCTTGCGAAAACAATCCTACAAATTGGAAGTCCTACCATCCTCTAACTTCGTAGCTAAAGATCGGTAACTTCACTTAACACGTTCCGTGCCACGGGAGCTTCGGTTATATTTTGCTTATGAACTGCATTGATTTTTTCAATAAAATAATAAGTTATACTCAGGTTTTTGGTAATTTTTATGTATTTTGATATTGTTTCTTTATGCTTTCGCTGCTTTGTAACGTATACCGCTATCCGTGAACGTGTATCCGTTAAAAATATTTTCTTACAAAAATTGGAGTATACCACATGTAGTACACGCGGCACGGAACGTGTTAAACAGCTGCCATCTTGTCGGTAATTTGTTCTCTGAACGTCCCTGGAGATTTTAAATCATCTAAGGTATAATCTAGAGATTGCTGAATTTTTGATTTTGGATAATTCTGCTTTGAGTCGTTGAGCTTTGAATATTGACAGATTTCCAATAATCTAACGTATTGTCTGAAGATTGTGGAATTTTTTATTTTCATTGATTGAGCCTTGGGTAATGATGATTAATTTTAACTGGAAACTTCGGAAATAAGGCTTCTCGAATACCGATTGTCTTGTATATTTTTTAATTTCCTTTTTCAGTGAACAGGCTGTTGTGATTCTGTGAAAATGTATTTTTGAAATGTTGATTAACTTTCACGAATGAATTTGATAAAGATATAAGATTTGTCTGTCATCTTATGTAACGGGTTGCATTTTATTCTGATTTGGGTTGCGGGGGGTTAAGGTAGTAAGATTCTGGTCTAAGTTAACACTCGACTAAGGAAAAGATTTTATTCGCAACCCGATTATATAAATTTTGTAATTAAGAATTGTTCATTTGCTTTTGATTATCTACTGCATTCGTTAACTTGTATAACGTCACGCCGACAATTACGGAAATGTAGACTCAGTGCATTCAAGTCCTCTAATTAAAGCCTTGCGTAATTTGTCTCCTATTAACGTAGAATCTCCGTAATATTAATCTCCGTCAGATGCATACAGAATTTAACCAACACGTCTGACAGAATATTCATTAACATACCTAATATCGTTGAGCATTGAAATAATTAGTATCATCAAAGTAAATATACTTCTACTCTAAAATTCAATTTGCTGTTCAAACAAGTACAGCATCAAAGAACCGTATACAATACGGTATCCATTTTTCTTCTCCCGTTCATCGCACTTTTCCCAAATAATCAATCCTTGCCGTTCTCAAGCCTTCATTTCCGCTACCAAAGGCGTCAAATCTCCCTTGAAGTCTCCCTAAACCAGGTGAAATATCAATTAGCCGGTGATTAATAGTTAACGGTTAATAATAAAAGCTGATCGATTCTTCGCACTTTTGGTTCGACGCAGTAAAATTCTCATGTTAGATGTTTAACATTAAATTTCATATAACATTTTTGGTTTTCGAAGTTTCCCAGTGTAAACTGTGTTCATTAGTAAAGATTTGGAAAGTCTTGACATCAATGACAGTTAAGGGGAACCAACGAATTCCAAAATAACTTTCAAATGCAAAAGGTTAACAGCCGTAAGTACCCAAGAATCTTTCCTTCTATCGCCTTCGATCGACTTCAAACAGAATTGTCATTGATAATTCCATTCTTACAATGATTTCTCTTTATATTAGTTGCAAAAATATCATGTATCATCGTATCAATTCAAAAGATTAAGAGCCCCAAATACCCAAAATTCTTTC